TGTCAATAAAATTTCGAGAATTAAGTATTAAGATTAAGTATCTGTTAAAATAGGTGTCCAAAATTCCTATAGATATCTAACTGCTCAGCTTGACCATTCTAGCAATGTGTAATGAACTCGACAGGATTGCCTTTTGCATTTGGCGCATAATTGATTCACACTTGTCTCCTACAAGCTCTTTTGCATTTTGCTCAACCTCAGCTTTCGAACAACCTCCAAGGACATCCGTTATGATGTTAATATACTGATTGATCTTGTACTTAGGATATCGGTTCGTCAGCTCTAGTCTCAGTTGACTTTACTTCGTTGTCTTCTCGAAATCTTTAGACTCTCTATTTTCCAGCCATGGACAGCTCATTTCAATTACTGTGACTTGCTTGCTGGTCTTGTCAATGACCGTGGCGTCGATTCTATTAGCTTTTACTTGAGTTGTGTCAGCGAATAATGGGACGTCCTAGAAGGCGGTCGCATGCTCATTCTCATAGAGTGGCTTGGTTGTGATTTGTGAGAACCACGGTTCAACTTTAGTAATGAGATCTAAAGATCTAAGGACTTCAAAGAATAAGATCTTGAAAGCATTGTTATGTCTCTGTAGGTACTTAGTCTGTGCCAGTGCATTACAGCCAAATAGAATGCGCTGCACATTCTCCAGGGAATCCCCGCATAGGCGGCATTTTTCCTCAGTGACTTGTGATTTTGTTCTTCTGTTGTAGTAAACCTTGGTAAGTAACAGCTGTTGGTAAAGCTCTTGTACTCCAGCGATCGTATGCGTTGGGGCATTCTTCAATGAAGAAAGCCACGCGAAGCACTCCTCCAGTTTAACTTTCTCGTCGTCCCATCTGTTCTTGATATACTTTAAGTCCTGATAGTGGTCGATCTTCTCTTTATTATAATTATTATTATTATTATCATTATTATTATTATTATTATTTATTATTATTATTATTATTATTATTATTTCATGCTCGAGGTTTTTGGGAGAGACAGAGATCTGCATTCTTCGACGTCCGGGTGTGTCACCCTAATGCAGACTCTTACAGAGACTTGACTCCTAAACAGATCTACAAGAAGCATGAGAACGAGAAGAAGAGGCAGTATGCGAAAAGAGTAATGGAGATCGAACAGGGAACGTTCACTCCCCTAGTTTCCACGACCACAGGTGGAATGGCGAATGAGTGTGTCAGGTACCACAGCAGACCTGCGGAGCTGATCGCAAATAAGAAGAGAGAAAGTTACTCAAGCGCAATTTCCTGGATAATTTTTTATTATTATTATTTTTATTTTTATTTTTAAGAATTAGGAATTTAGGAATACGACACTTTTATTCTTTTTAATATCAGAGACGGATTGGTAATGACTTAATTTAAAACTCTGGACTGCCCGCAAGAGTTAGTGACCGCATTTGAGCCGCAGGAAATGTATTTGTGAAATCTTTATTGACACAGTGATTGCCATTTTTAATTATTTATACTATTCTTAATGTCATATATTGCTTAATTCTTACTCCAAATATTTCTGTAAATTATGTACATATTTTTTAAAGTTGAATAAAATTAGTATTATTATTAAAAAGAAAATTATCATGTTTCGTTCAAACCTTTGCGTATGATAATGTGTCGAAGATGTCAGCGATGTTTTTGGGATCTTGGAGCGCCACTGATACCGGATGTGAAAAACTTGACTGATCGTAGTTGAAAGCTGAGTAAAGTTTGTCATGGACAAACTGGTCCATCATACTCCAGGTTGGCTCAATAAAACTCAATCCGATATCCTCCATATAAGTAGCAAAGCCCTCGCTAAGCCAAATATCGTTCCACCATTTCACTGTAACGAGATTTCCAAACCACTGAAAGATGAAATAACAAATACAGTCAAACAAGTCAAGTTATACCTGGATGTTGGAAATGAGTACATTATTTTGTGTAATTTGGTGCACGTATCATGAGTGGTTTTGAAGTTACAGAGGGGGAGAGGTGAAGCCGCCCCCGGTCGCAGGCAGCAAAAAAAGTCCCGTCTGAATAGGGTTAAGAATTTTGAATGTATAGCTAAGAAACAAAAAATAATTTCAACTGAGTAGAAAATTAGGTCTGGACTTATCGCATAACTTTTTTAAAATAACAAATAATTGCCCACCTTCAACCTTAAAGTCCCTTTGAACAGAGTATCATGTGGTATTGAATTAACAAACCATGTTATATGTTGGGAGTCTGGCAAGAAGGTATTTTGAATCCCTTATTTCCAACTGTCTGGCCGTAAATAAATAAAGTTACTGACGTCTCGCCTTTCACGTGTTCGATCTTGAGAGACTTGCCCTTTTTTGTTCAAGTATGGGCCGATCTCCCCTTTTATACAAATGGCATTTATTTTAAGATCTGTATCGATCATTAAAATGACAGGTGCTGCCAAAGTCCTTCACATGGCCAATTTATTTGCAATGAGTTGCTTCCTGATCCTAATTTTACTTTGTAATAAAACCTACAAAATATTATCTTATTGAGAACGATGTATAGTCAAGCAACAAAAAACGAAAAAAAAACAATCCCTCGTTTCGGGGTCTTTAGGACGCCATTATCAACAAATTTAAACTCAAAACAAAACAAATTTAAATGGCGATAAATTTTTTTTTTTTTCAAAAATAATGTTGGTACTGATAATCTCTGGGTCATAAATTAAGTCATATTGTTGCATCTTATTTATCAAAGGGTACAAATAATAGGAGATTGAGCTTGGTAGTGAATGAGGTAGAAGTGGTGATAGATCAGTCTATAATTTCCCATATCGACCCATACCTGGTGTGATAATTCGTGTGTAACTGTCCTAGACACAATTTGTTCTGCAGAATCCGTTGACACATCAGGATCAAATAGAAGCGCTGAAGTAACAACTGCGACCAAACCCCAGTTTTCCAACCCACCCCCTAAAAGGTCCGCAGGATAGGCAACCAGACCTGAAAAATGACGGGATTATTTCCCACGGTGAGTGACTGAGTCGAGTTCAACAGTGGTCTTTATGTTTCTCATAGCTAATGATAAGAAATATGTGTCAGACTCAAGGTGAAAGGTATTCTATTTCCTACTTCTTTCATTGTTCATTGCATACAACGAATTGTTCCACTTCCGGTTCACTGATTCATAATTTTCGCTCCAAGAATCATTGAATTGAAACTGGAACAATTCTAATTTGCAATGATGCCTTGAGTGTCCTGTCAATATAAAGGCGTTACATGATTATGTTTAGCAGAAATTACCAACGGTATGATTAAAATCGTAACACACCTATTGCTTTATTCTAATTACGCTATTTTTTGGTATTCTGTGGCGAGAGTATTGCCTAGTTCCTAGGCCTTGCTATTCCGGGCGGTCAGTGCGTTTGGGGTCACGTGGTCCGAGCGAAGTAGTGAGATACGTCACCTAAATGCATTGACCATGGATCCCTGGGAAAACGTCGTACAGGGACAAGAGTAAACAGTTTCAGATTATTTTTCCATGATATCGATTGTAAACTGACCAATAAAGACCCAGATCACTAGGACTCCCTTGTAGTCCTTTCACCACAACTATTAATTGACCCAATAAAAGGGTTTGTAATTAGCAAATTGCGTATCCCAAGTCATCGTTTTTCATGTTTACTGCCCAGCATTTTCTCGTAGCTTTCCAGGAGAATTATGCTTGCAATTTTTAACCTCTACTATACCCTACTAATAGGAATCAACACGACAGGATATTCATGGCTGGCCACCAATAAAGTTACTGACGCAATCATGTCAGGCCTTTTTCACCCTCCCACGCAGACGTTTTGAGCATTTCGAACACCGGCGTTAATTCTTTCTCCGAAAGAACGGGTGACAAAGCCCTAGCGCTAGCTGCGTGGGAGGCTCTATTTCCTCCCATGTCGCGTGAACTTACGAAACAAGTGTTTTTAGTACTGTATAGCACACAGCACTTTTAGGGAACTGAAAGCATAGCTATCTAAGTCTAAATTTAGTTTGCACAATCCAATTTTGGGAGATATCATGAAACGCGCGACACGGTTAAGGATACGCGAAAGCGAGGTGCAGGGCTCGCTTCAGTCGACATCGAGATGGAGAGGTTACTAGCATGCAAACTAAACCTATTTGAAATATCTTAGGTATTAAATAAAGAGCAAAACTTAATAATATGCGCGTACAAATACTTTTTGGAGTCGTCAACCCTTTTATTAGGATTACGCCCTGTTGTTGCCGCGAGAGCGAGCGTGAAGCGAGCGAACAAGGCAGCAAACGACAAAAAGTTTTGATTTCTACCCACGATGCATCTGGATTTTTTTTAACCACAATGCAACGGATTTTTAACACGATTCTTTGCGCGCCAATTGCCTTTATATACCGTAAAATTTCGAAAACAAGCCCCTCCAAATATAAGCCCCCCAAACTCGTAATGCAAATACCCTCTGTTAAATCGCCCCTCCAAATATAAGCCCCCCGGGGGCTTGTACTTGGAAACTGCCCTCAAATACAAAGTAAAACAAAGAAAAAAAGGTAAATTTACTTCCAACTATAAGGCTAGCCCAATCGATTTTGAAACGCAAATATCCCTCCGAATAAAAGCCCCTCCAAAAATAAGCCCCTCAAAAAGGGCCTTTGAAAAATATAAGCCCCGGGGCTTATTTTCGGAATTTTACGGTACCTTGTTAGGCATTGTGGTGTATGACGTCATACCACGTGCACTTGCATCACCCTCTTGCAGTGGTTGTCACATGCTTTTGTGTATTTCGTTGGCAGAATAAAAGGTCTGTTGAATTTTTGAAGCACGATCTGTTCTTACCCCGGCCTTACGGAACGACGAAATACGTTACAGGTATAAGTCTTGTTAGAATACAGGATTTTCAATCAACTTGTTTGTTGACATCAAGGCAGCACTCTTTAACCTATTAGGTACACTAACAGCTAAATTTAGTATTCTGAAACTAGCGAGGAGCAGACACTGATTGCTGATATAATTGAACGCTGACGTCAGTTGGTTACCTTCCTTTGGAAGAGGAAACGGTATCTTGAAGAATTTCTCATAATTTGAAAGAGTCTTTGCAGCGATGTCCAACGCGTAAGTACCCTGTGAGATCTGCGACGGAGGAGCCCACAAACGGACCTGTGTGGATAACAGAAAATAATCAGTTATCTTTTGTCTTTCCCATGTGAGGCAAAATTAACTCTATTATATTCAGTAAGACCAGGCTTCTTTTATGGTTCCTGCGTCCGGGGAAAGCTTCGGGGGACCTTCTCTTTAATTTCAAAACTGCTTACGATACCGCCACCAAAATTACACCTTCAGAATAATGTACCACGAACGAAACACCGAAAGAGCTATTTTTTAAAAAATATTTTTTAAAGTGAAAAATTGTTAGGGCACCTTGCGAGCAGAGACTCCATTTGTCTTCTTCTTCTTCTGAAGGAGGGGAGAAGGAGGCTCTGCCTGAATCACGTCAAACCTTCGAGGCCGCCGCAGACGAAACTTGGCGGACTAGTCAATCTTGCTTTCTCTCATCAAACTTGTTTCTTCAAGTCAAGCATCTGTTTATTGATAAACCGATGGTCATAACCGATCCCTCTGTAGCAAGCGCACGGCTGTTAGGCCTGCGTCGAAACTATATCCTTGCAAAAAGCCCTGCATGCTCAACAAAGATCTTACTCAATTTATGCAGCGTCTTTTTCTAGCACGCCAAAATCGAGCTGGCGAAAGAAGGGCTCTGCTGGCAGGGTGTTTTAATGGGTGAAAGGCCGTATATCATCTGCCTGCCAACCCTCACCCATTTTAATATGGGTGAGTCTCACGTTAGTCTGAAATGTCATCCTTCAGGAGCCCATGGGCTCCTGCATCCGTCTCTTTGCCCCACCCAACTACGGACTGCAAGCGTCTCTCTCTCTCTCGCCTTGCCACCTATTGATGGGTTGGGGCGATGAGACGGGTGATATTTCAGACTAGTCTCACGCCTGCAGACTAAAGACATCGATCTCACGCATCAAGGACAATTTCTCACGGCTGATTCACAAATCCGGACGAATTGTTCTTTAACACATGGCTAATAACATAAAATATATTGAATATTCCCGAAAATATTCCAAAAAGGCCCTTAACTTTATCTAAACACGCAAAAATGTCGCCATTGAAAGGGCTCAGAAGTACTCAAAGCTAGGTCGTTGGAACATCTTCGGACATTTTCGACGACGTTTGAAAGTCTTCGGAAAATTCCGGTCATGACAAGACGAAAACCCCATACATTTGTCTCAGAAAAAGGTGGCAGGTATAAGATCTTCACTGACCTGAAAGCTTTGAAAACCTTAACATATTGCTCCAGTGAGGAGAACTCTTTCATTGTTTTACATTTTAAAAATTGTAAGTCAAGTGGGTTGTGATGCTCGTTGATAAAGCTTCTATGCGCGGACCAAATCTTAATCTTAACCAAATCTTAACCTCGAAGCACCCGTGGTACTCCCCACCCAGGTAAGAAGTACCGCAGGCGCATCGAAACACCCACAGCTGGAGACTGAGCCGAGGTTTGCTCCTGATAACAGCCAACCCTATTCGTCAGATTGCTTGGTGAAAAGTTTCTCGAAGCAGTTGTTAAAACTGGTCAACATTAGAGTGCTTCTTTTTAAGCCGTGAAACAGGGTAACAATTAGTGCCAAACAGTTACATTAAGTACATAAAACAAAACAATGAGATTAAAGCGGAATACTGCATATTAGTCAAGTCATAGTCTCCCTCGCAGCCGTTTTTGGATGTCACGGTGACATTCAAAAAACGACTAATCAAGTCAGGGATTAAGTAAAATCACTCTAGCCGCATGTGCTATTTTACTGACGCATAAGGAGCAGAAGAGTTTAGTTTGTACGAAGCAATAAATAAAATATAAAAAAGAGTCTAAGGGAAATCATTATTGACGATAGTGCCCTTTGTTTTCCTTCTGCGGGTTCTTCCCCACTCCCCCCCCCCCCCCCCCCCCCCCCCCCCTCCCCGGGGGCCCCCCACCAGGAGAATTTTTTTTTTTTTTTTTTTTATTATAAATAAGGGGGGGGTTTTTTGTTTGAAAAAAAAAAAGAAGGGGGGGGGAGATCCCCTTTTTTTTGTTCATAACGCGGAAAAATGTTAAAAAAAGACAAAACAAATTAGGGGATAAAAAAAAACACTCTAGCCGCCTGTGGTATTTTTATGACGCAAAAGGGGGAGAAGAGTTTAAGTTGTACGAAACAAAAAAAAAAAAAAAAAAAAGAGGCTAAGGGAAAACATTTTTTGCGAAAGTTCCCCTTTTTTTCCTTCTGCGGGTTCTTCCCCCCCCCCCCCCCCCCCCCCCCATATTGGCCTAAACAGGGGGGTCCGCCTAAAAGGAGTATCTTTTTCAGGCTTAATGTATATAAAATGGTGGGGATTTCACTAGTTGAAGAAAAACAATGGAATGGTGGCGAATCTCTCCTTTCGTCTGTAAAAGGGCCCTAAAGTTAAGGGCATACAGATCCATTTTACGGCTGTGAAAGAATTGAGAAAACATTGTGGTTTTGTGCCTTTTATTGGTGTTTAAAAGAGAGTGCATTTACAGCAGTTAAATGGGATGCAAAGGTCTAAACTTGGTATATTTAACAATTATTCCTCGAGCCCGAGTGGGCTCTGAGTCAATAGCCCATGAATGAGGCCGAAGGCGGAATGAGCTATTGACTCAGAGGTCATGAGGGCGAGAGGAATAATTGTTTTAGTAAAATCAAACTAGTTGAATGGTCAAAAATATCGAGACTAAAAAAAGTTTAGCTAGTTAAAGCTAGCCTTTAATCCTTTTTTGCCGCCAAAAAGCCCGCGCTTTTCGCTACTAGTGGGCTATAACATATAGCCAGGCTCCTGATGTAGCCTAGTAGTAGCTCAACCAATCAGAACGTAGCATTGATAATAGACCACAAGCAAGAGAGAATGAGCTAAGAGAGCGAATCCCTGTGCCCCACGATAATTTTTTAAAATCTATTTAAAGTTCTCGCGCGTGCTGCGAAGGTTATTTTTGTCTGTTGTTTCCGTGACCCGCACGGTCTACTTTCACGTGAACGTGACATGTTTCGCCGCAAACATTTGCAGTTTGACAGCCATTATAGTTATTAGCGCCAGGAGCTGATACTAATCGGCTACTGTTGTTCACATGTTTTTGATCAGCGCTCTCCGCTCATGATTTAGGAATGAATTTCATTTACAATGGGATTGCAGTATTGGAGTCAACATTTCACTTTGAGATTAAAGATTGAGATTTTCTAACGGCTGGTAGCCTCATTTAAAGTAACGAATATTGAATTCTGACACACTGTGAAAGCCAGAGGAAAAGGTTATCACGCGCGAAACACGAAACCTTCAATGAGTGGCTGGCTTCAACTGTTTAAGCAAATGTGCGAGATATTTTTTCTCTTTTTCCAGGAATATTTTTCGTTCAGAAACAGTACATTTGCTTTTAAGAATTATTCTTGAGAGTTTCTTCTGAACGTCTAATACTTGCGATGAATATTTTGCTTTGCAAACACAAATCAGGTCAGATGCTTCAAGCTGTTAAAAAGTCGCTAATTATAAACTGGATGCCGGAGAGTTTTGATGCGCGGTTTCCGGTTTCGGTCAATTTTTTTGTAGTGAGCGGTGTACCCAAATTTGTCTAGCGTCCTCTCAAAATTCAAATGTTTTGGCGGCCAAACATTCATGTTTGAACCCACTTTGAACTTATTTTCTCGTTACGTGTCCACGGTTGAATCCAAACGACGGTATCACAGCTCGCGGGCGAGCGTGGATGTCGCCGGAAGAGACAGTTGTCGTTTTTTGTGATAAGCAGTTTTCGCAGAGTCGGAACCTGCTTTTTTTGCGGCGAACTCCCACAAACCTGGACCGCTTTGCTCTTCGTCAGCTAGTCTGGCCAGATTATTCCACGTATAAATCTTTTGACTCGTCGCCGAAAGTAATACCAAGTTTGCACGTCACATCGCTTGCTGTGCGTGATCGGCAGTGAAATGAATTACCCGCCAAGTTTAACTCTAACCGACCAATAAGGTGGCGTCCTTAAAATAACCACGCAGTATGACACAGAGCCAAGAATAGATTGAAAATAATTTTCATTGGAAGAGGGTCATGTATGGGGATTCGCCCTCTTAGATCATTCTCTCTTGACCACAAGTTGGATTTTACTAAGAAAAGGGCTACCATTTGTCAATAGAGGGTATACGAAAGGGGTGCCTGTTCTGTTAAAAACGGTGTATAAAAGGGTAAGGGTTTGGACCTTGTGGCAGAGCCTTCCCATAAAAAAAAAAGTTTCTTGAGTATCCTCCGGGTAAAAAGCACACTATACTAGCTAGCTAAACGTCAAAAGGTTCCACTCGAGACAACAATATCGGTGGTGGTGATGATATAATGGATCTCTCATTTGTAGAGTTGCTTCTTCCCCAACTGGCCAAGTTCGGTGCAGGGTTTCTTTCCTGTATGTTCAGGTATATTTCCATGCACTTTTTCATTTTCCTCGTTTGATTTCCTAGTCGTTGAATTGCAAGCAAGTTACCTATGACTCTCAGCGAATGCTAAAGCTTTGTCAACTATCAATTTTGTGAGTTTCTTGGTTCGAAAAGAAAATCATCAGCTGTTTCGGTGTTTCAGTGTTTCGTTTCGCTATTTCGTGGTTTAGTAATGTCCAATAAGAAGCAAAAACCATGGCCTAACGGAAATACAATAATTTTACTTCCTTGATTAATCAAAGGAGAAAACTTGGCAGACATTTGCGTTTGAGATCGCACAACTTTCTATTCCCGAGAAAGTCTCCGACAATAGCTATATCACCTAATTCTTTCAATATCGTACGTGTTTCTCTTAATTCTCTTTTAAGCTCAAGTTATGATTCGAGCCGCATACCTTGATGCCACTACTTGTGTTAGTTTCTATGGACTTGAAGTGGCTCACAACAAACGCCACCAAATAAGTACTCATCTTCACTGACTCTTTAAAATGATCAGCGTATAAATCTTCTCCAATTTTAACCTGGAATGGAGAGATAATACACAAGTTGTTAAGTTACAATGTTAAATGTTGGATTTTTGTTCACAAGATTTCATTAAATACCACTTATTAACCGAAAGTGAGGTCATTACAGGGAAATCTCAGACTGAGGCCTTAATGTTTCATGGCCGGTCAAAGTCTTAGATTTCTCTGTAATAGCCGAACGGACGAGGTGAATAAGGTATTTAGTAGTATACATGGCCTGTTAGTGCCACAGTACACCCGATAGGGTTATTTTTAGACGTCAATTTCAGACTGTTTTGGCATCAAACGAGTTATGCAGAGAACGCACGGTTTCAAGTGAGTCGATTCCGTGGATTTAGTTCGCGGAATGACGGCTTAGTGAAGATATTGAGATGTTTGCGAGATGTTTAATTTGACTATGCTAATGTCCTCTTTTATTTCTTTAGTATTTTGCTCTAATAAAAGGTGGTTTTTTTTTTTTTTTTTACTTTAATAACATGACCCGTTAATACGGACACTTTCTATGTCTACTTCAGAGTCCGTATTAGCGAGGTTTGATTAGCTTCCTCCTCAATTTTAATGCCCTCTCACCACTAGCACCACTACATAGTTGCATTGGCTTCCATGAACCAATATCACAGTTCTAACCTCTCCACCGCCACCGCTACCATCCCCTTTATCATATTTCCATTGTTTTACTCCACCACCACCATTACTTTGCTTAGTTCTACCGATTGCCTCAAGCAGAAGCACCATCATTAATAACCGTAGCGACAGAGGGTGGATTAGAAAGAACTGCGCATAACCAGCCAAAATCAAATATTTCTCACAAAGCCAAATAACAGCCCAAGCTATAACTTAAGATCTAAATCAGGTTTAGTTTTATACCAAAGTCAGGAACGCAAAGACGTCATACTAACTCGTTTATGGCAAGAGCTGCAAGACTTACTCCTCCTTTTATGATCTGTATATTTTTAACCCAACTAGTGGTCTATTATCGATGCTGCCTTCTGATTGGTTGAGATACAACTAGGCTATGTGTTATAGCCCACTAGTAGCGAAAAGCGCCGGCTTTGGAAACAAAACAGTGGCGGCTGAATCGCGTTTTGCTAGCTCAAGTTGTTTTGTCTGGGTATTTTTAACCAACACGTTGGATTTTACTAAAACAATTATTCCTCTCGTCCTCGTGGCCTCCGAGTCAATAGCCCGTTCGGCCTTCGGCCTCATGGGCTATTGACTCAGAGTCCCTTCGGGCTCGATCAATAATAATTGTTAATTAACTTTATTATTATTGTAAATCCAAAGTATATATGTTATTTTTAAAGATGGATAAATAAGGATTATTATTATTAACATTCGAGTTCCTTAGCTGATATCCCTCTGCCATCTCCACATTTCTATTTTTGTCTCCACCACCTTGTTGCAAAACATTACCACCACCACATTTAGAGTTCTATGGGGGTTGTGGTGGTGGAAGTGGTGGTGGTGATGGTGTTAGTAGTGGTGGTGGTGATTCAGAAAGGCATTAAAACTGAGTAGGGGAATAAATTTAATTTTGCCTAGTCCAGCTACGGAAAGCTATACATTGATTCCCATTAATTTTCGTCTGGCTACGGCACGGAGTTTTAGAACGATGATGCCGAAATTTAGAAGATATATCTGGACGATTTTTTGAAAACCAATCCAATGAAATTTGTAGTCATTTGAGTGAAAAAGCGTCAAAAGGCAATAGCTACTTGGAGATAAAACTGTTCGACACAAAAGGTCCATTGGGCGATAACGTTATCAACAATCTGGCTAGAAATATATATTCAATTTTACCTTAAAAGAAGTTTACTGTTAATCTTTCCTATGAGATACGTATACATGTAGGTGAGTACTCACCGTTTTATATTTAGGCATATTAGAAAGAGCGTTGTATTGCCCCTCTCTTATAATGGTCACTGTAAACGTAGCCTTCATCGCAGGCTCGTCAAAGCAGGGGAAAGCCCGTCGGGCAAAAATGGGCTCAAAAACCGAGACAGCAAGGTATCTGAAATAAAATAACTCCGTTTCAATTGATCAAGTAATTTAGAACACCTTTAACAGAAGCTGCAAAAATAAAGAAAAATTATTTATGGAAACACCCAACGCCTCAGTTCTGGGCTACTGGGTAGTAATTAACAATGTCCTTTTTTCAGCTGAGATGGCCGAAACGGGATTAATGACTGGGCATGGCACAGGAAGGCCAGTAAATGTGATACGCGACGGGTAACCAGTGCAGGGCTCTTAGCACTGGTGTAATGTGACAGAATTTGCTTTCTTCGAACACGAGACGTGCAGGAGAGTTCTGAACTCCTTGAAGTTTCTGAATTTGATACGCCGGCAACCCTTAAAGTAGGCTAGCTATTGCAATAGTCAGTGCGGCTAGAAATAAAAACGTCTGACCGAAAACAATGACTGGTTTCTGTCGCAGTATTAAAGCAGGTTTAATGCAGGAAAGTTCATTCTTTTGAGTTTGTGCTTTTATGGTGCCTCAAGAAGACTAGTTATTGAGCGGGAGAGGAAAAAACGCGGAGCCCTGATCCATGAAGTACCCTATAGAGGTAACCCTAAAAACATTTAATGGTTAGATAACATACTTTTCATAATTATTGATGACAACATGATCAACGTTTTTAATTTCAATACGTGATTGCACTGGCAAAAATTAACTGAACCAGTTAATGAGCTTATACAACTACACGAGAAGATGACCTTTCAATCAGTGGCACAGGCGGTTTGAAAGACAAAAATCAGGCCTTGTCATTTCTCTCATGTATTCAACAGGCTCAAAACGCCGCACCATCACATCTCTATCATAGCGCAATAAGCACATACCGACGATACCGACAGGATTCAGGATTGTTTGTCAGATGAACCTATTAGACATAGTAGTATGGTTCCATTGAGTCTTCAGTAGCATATTGGTTACAGTATCTGGACTCAGTAGTTACAGTTCGACTTCTTCTGGGAATACTCCGATTTTTTCTTCCAAGCCGGTTTGTGTGACTGACTGATTGAAAAATCAACTTTTCGATCATTATTGTGGTCATAAGCCGTTAAGTCACTTTGTAAACTTGTTCTTCTCGTTAACCACTTGATTGTAATTTTTAGCCTTTAATTTTGAACTAATGTGTATTTGTTTTACTGTTTCTAATGTAATACATATGTGCTCACATAAAAAATAAATAAATTTAGTATATACTAAAACAGTGGATAGTGTTTTTCGCGCGCTCTGATTGGCCACTAAATCAGTGAACATCCTGCACTATTCACCGATTCAACTCCGGTTCCAGTCCGAGCGAGCTACTCCAAGCTCGCGTAAGTTGCGACCAAAATGCCTTACCCGTTTGCTGCTGTAACAAACAACGAAATTTCGCAATTAATCAAGCAAGCTGTTCCCGAAATACACGAAGAAGATGAATTTTCGGTTTTTAAGTTTTAACAGGTAAAGCTTTTTGTCTTTTTGACTTGAATTTATCGATAAAACCGGTGAAAAAGTTTTTTGTTTACAAATGCAAATTAAGCTGAAGTCTTGTGTTACTTTATTTAGTTGGCTTGTTCATAAATAAGCTTAAAACTAAATTTAATAATCTTTTTTACAGAATGACTTTAAATACAAAAAAATTCACAACTCCTTTTGAAGAAATTTCCTCGCAAGAGCTAAACAAATGCCTTCAAAAGTTTTATTTGTCGGCAAGAAAAAGCGACGACCCGGGGGCCGTTCGGTTATTGTGCGCCAAAATTGTAATCGTTGGCAACAGTAAATGAGTTAAAAAATCACCATTTTGGCGCTCAATTATCTCACTGTTTTAGTTATACTAAAACAATTATTCACCTCAGTGTCGGTGGCTAGTGGTGGATGCTCAGCCTCATTCATTAATTGTTAAATAATAAACATGCATTATCAAACGCAGAAAAGAAAGGACCAAATAACTGTTGGTAGTTTACTGCTGTATTGACTTGAAAAATGAAAGCGGAAAAATGTTTTTTAAAGAAGCTTGGTTGATGTTTTATTAAGAACCAATTATGATGTATGAGTAGCTTTGTGACAATTAGTCTTGTTACGGCTTCTGATTATGATCAGCGATCACTAAGGATTTTATCTTAGCTAAGGTAAGCCATTGGTATATTGTATTTGTCCGTCTTCTTAGGCTGCATCAGTGAATTTGGCTACCTCTTCCTTTAGCCTCTATCTGCCTGGAGTGTTTTTTTTTTGTTGTTGTTCTTTTGTTTTGTTTTTTCATTTTTCATATCATTTGTCATAGGTTTTTCATCCCACGAACAGATGTAAAATTCAATAATGGTGAGGGCATAAGTATCTCAATGATACGCTTCACGAGAACGGGATTCCACTGTAGTGAGATAAATCAAACACTTTACTAACGACGCTTCACTCACCTTTTTTTGCCATTTTCTGCAGTGGAGGAGCTTCTATAAAACCCATACGGAGTATCCTTTAGGGGATAATTGAATTCAATGTGAATCATGTAAGTTTGTCCTGGGATAAGTTCCTCGTTTACTTTAATAAGAAACATTTCAAGAGTCTTATCACTCATCGTTCCTACGACGTTCAATTCTCTATCTTGCTGTCCTTTCTTTAACCTTTTAATTAGTTCTTCATCTCGCACATCATCAGAAACATCTACATCTTGTTGTCTTTTCTCAAAGACTGCTGTATTCGTGACATTCATGTCTCTGAGATGAAGAATAATATTAGCTGTTTGCTTTGCACACTTCACTGTTATACCAACTGTTCCCTTTACATAGAATAATTTTAAGTCCGTGTCCAATCTGATGTTGTAATTCAAAGGAAATAAAGTCTGCGGAAGTCTTATGCTTTCCCATGGAAATTTTCTTTCCTCCTTGATGATGATATCGAGGCGATCAATCCTGTCCTCTCCCCCGGTCACTAAACTTCCCATTAAAAGAAAGTAAAGAAGGAAGCGTAGTAACTGACGAAGGCCCGTAGCATACATATCAAACGACGGAGCAACGAACCGTGTTCATCAAAACCTTGAGTGTAAATGAATAATTCCCAAGCTCCACGTGTTACAAAAACTGGAGCATTGGATGATAGTTCAGTGCTAGAGTTTTAATTGGCTTAGCAACCATACTACAGTGGACCCCCTTAATACGGTCACCAATAGGCCAAAAAAAATGTTGCCCAGTCTAAAAATTTATTTTCCTTGCGGTGAAGTCAACGCATAATGGTCACGTCTGGTTTCACTTATTGAACCAAGAACAACTAGCTATGGTCTAACGATTGAGAATTACTATTTTTCTTTCTTTCTTTCCTTTGTTGTTGTTGTTGTTGTTGTTGTTTTTTTTTTTTTGAATGCGCTGCCTAACTTTCTTTCCACTAGCAATTTTGTAGAGTTTATTTAAGAGGGTCAGGCTTATTTTTATTTGCTTTCATGTAAGTTTTTCCTTCTGTAAGGTTGAATGACCATCTAGTGATATACAGATATATTTGTACAAACTAGTTTCTTCAAGTGTAAACATGTGTTATTTCACAAGTAATATGATCGTCCGAGAGAACGTAGTCCTGAACAGCACTGTTGTTGTTGACAATGACTGACGTTTCGACAACCTGTGCGGTAGTCATCTTCAGAGTCAAAGTGAGTTGTATCAGGTCAGTTCCTGATGGTATTATACTCTGGCAAGAGCCATAATAGGACAGAGAGGGAGTCTCCCAGCCACGCCTTTAGGATATCTTAATTTCAAAAACTATGCGGACTATGCGGAAACAGTTTCCGGTAAACTGGTTGACTTCCGGAAGATCCAGCCCGCCAAAGCGAGGCGGGGTCAACAAATGAAAAAAATGGCTGCCTAAGTGGAGGGTGTGTACTTGATAAATTGTCCTCCTTCAACGAAGAACCTACCATAGAAACTGGTTAAAACTTCTACACAAACGGATCCTTTACAAGAAACGGTAGAAATACAGTTAAAGCGACCGCGTGGACCATTGTTTTTGTTGGAACAGCTGGAAAGAGGACAAGTAGCATTGCGGCCGGGATAAGCGTTGAACACAAAATGCCGACCGTACAAGCGACCCTGTGGACGTATTTTCTGTTGAAAGTGGAAGGAAAAAAACGTATAAAGGTTTCGAGTATTTTTCTCAAGGACATGACCAGGAATCATGTGGAAAACATCTTTTCCTGCTTTGACTGATATTTTGTACCGTGCTTCACATTGGACAATTAACAATTAAGCGCTCTAATATTCTTGAACACGAGGTGAATAGAAGCGGAATATTCGCGGCGAGGTTAATATTCCTAAAGCCACTATTCACCAATATTAAAAATCAGTAAGGAGACCATTTAAGTTCAATTTAATTGACAGTTTTGACGGATAAATTCATGTGTGAAAATCGGTATGTGCAAAAGCTTGATCTTTACAGAATTTTCAAACATTGCAAATCAAATCGCAGTTAAAAAATCCTTTCGCAAACAATGATCTAATGGGTTATGTGGAATCGCCAGAACTTTAAATTCTGCTTCCCAGCCTGTGAAGAAAAGAAGAGCTTTGTTTTCATCTGTCGACTCGCCAAGTCAGGGAAAAAGGTTTCTTCTTCAGCTTGTGTTGTTCTTAATAAGTGCAGACAATGGTGACCCAGTTGCTCGAGGTAAGGCGCCGTTTCTCTGTAGTTTTCTTGACGTTGAATTTGAAATCTCGAAATTTCGTAAAGATTTGCTTTTATATTTTTTGTCATAAGTTGAATTTGATTTCTGGGGAAAATTATTCGCCTTTGAAGGAAACGTTGAGTTTACAAAACCACCTCTTCTATTCAATTTAAAAAAAAATCAATTTTCTACATTGTATGGTGAAACCAGTATTATGCAGACCTCATATTAAGCAGACACCCTGTATTCAGCAGTAGAATAGCTCAAAATGTGGTAAAACGTTTCTTTCCATAATTTGAGAAAAACAAACCCTGTATTTAGTAGATATCTCTAATAAGCAGAAAGCAGAAAAGTTTGTGGGGATGTCCGCCTAATTCTAATTACACAGGGTTTTTTTCTTATTTATAACAACCTTATATGCATTGAAATAGATGGTAAAAAGAAGGATGAGTGAGGGTGTAAAGAGAGAAGAACTGAGTCCTTATACCAGGCTGGCTCCCTCCCTGAAGATGTAATATCAAATACAACATGTAAAGGTTTCATAAAACTGGTACATCATTTTTATGTTGAATGTCTTTTAGACTGTGAGCAGTCTCTCTTCAGCCCGAAATTCTGTAAGCGAGAGTATTTGAGCAGCGAAGTCATTTATGGTAGTCTGTAGAATACGTGATAGCACATGTCGCTGAGTACCAGTCGATTTGATGTTTCCTCTGTAAATGGTGCTCAGCAATGTGATTGCTGACGTCACCATTTCTCTTCGCTCGTTTGTGTTCGGTCAGTCGCGTGCTAAGGTTTCTGCCGGTTTTATCAATTTAATTAGCCTGCTGGCAGTCGCAGCATTTGATCTTGTATACTGCTCCCTGTCTGTCCTCCGGTTTGTCTTTGTCCTTGACATTAGTAAATTAGTCGTCGTAAAGTGGTTATCGGTTTGTTTATAACAAGTATATTGCAAGGTTCAAGTATACGTGCAATAATTTCAGAGATTCCTGTGATGTACTTTTATAGTCGTTGTCGTAACAGGGCCAGATCAGGGTTGACGTTGGTCGAGTGTTGGAATGAGTTTTACTGTGAGTGTTCCATCTAACAAAGTCCGTGTTTGTAGTTATTTTTACTAAAAACGTTGTTTAGGTAGTTAATCTTATGAAATGACTCCTGGGTTCAAACATTTCACAATAATGTGTTATTGTAATGTATTTAATGTGTTTTATGTATTTTTCCTTGACGTTACTAGCTTCTGCAAGGAAATCTAAAATTCGAGAGTAAATAAAGTTTATGATGTACATGTATGTATGGTGATTTGAAAGCAGAATTGTATCGCTAATGCGTAAGAATAAAGCACTGTACTCTGTGGTGCTTAAAGTAATTGTAAGAAAAGCAAAAACAGTAGAGTTTGAAAAAATAAAACCAGATTCAAAAAAAAAAAACCAGTTTCAAAAATGAAACTGATTTGAAAATTGAACCGCAACATAGACAAGCAGGAGGAACGGGAAAATGACCTATGAAAACAAAACAGAGAACATGGAGATGAAGTTACTGATAGCGCTTGGGTTCTAGTTAGGTAGTTTCGTTCCCATTGTTCATTTTCCCTTTCCCCGTGCTCTACCCTGCGAATACAGTCGTTTCTCCTTGCTCCTTGCCGTTAATGTCGTTTCGCCAGGAGAAACGTTTTCTAAACTCAGCGACAGAAATTCCATGCTGATGACGTCCGGAATCTGGTCAGGAGCTCTGATTGGTCGACGTAGTAGTTATATTGTTTTACCTCTTGCATATGAACGACAGACAAAAGACAAAAGGCCACAAAGGTCAAATTTCATAATAAAATTCTAACGTGACTCCAAGGATTTAAACTCCATTGTTTCGCAATTCCCAGAAGAGACTTAAGCACAAAGAGAACCAAACCAAATATAGAAAAAAAGACCAGAAAGCCTCGGAGTCACGGTAGATTGTGGGCTATTCCTGAAAGCTGGTAAAGTTGCTGGGTAACCAGTCCAGGATGAACTGTCATTCGATTGGTTAAAGATATCCAAGCGTATAACAACAGAGTCAAGTGAAAAAAATGAGCTTTATTATCACTGAGTGTCAATATATTTAACAGGATATTACTAACTGGGGACACTAGACGGGACCATTGTTTAATGTGTTTATCCGAGCCATGCCAAGGTTCAGCCGTTTACAGAGCAAAGGAAGTACATACGTTCATTTCTCAAATATTTTAAGACCCTGAGTATGGGTCCTCCATCGCTGGGAATCGAACCTACGACCTCTCGCTCTGCAGTTAGGCGCTCTTTCGACGTAGCTTACCTTGTTGCCGCTACCAATACAGCACCGTCAGTAATACCGGCTCCCTTAGTTACCGGTACCCTAGAATACCAGCAATTTCATTCATTCGTTCATTCAATTTCTTTTACTATTAGCTTGTTTGAGGGTAATGCTAGTAGTAGCTTTGTCTCCGGTTTCTTTTTTTCGGCAGAAGCTTGTAGCAAGATTTGCGTTTTTCTAGACCCGTTATTTTTATCAAACAATTGTTCGGCTCCTGTTAGGTATGAGATGATTAAAGCCAGCTGGACTTTACGCGCTTCGTTGGCTGTGTGCTGTTTCAAATCCAACGCGTACTTGTACAGGGTCTGAAAGGAATTAAATTCCTGGGATCGGGAATTTGCCGAAAGTACAGAATAATATTCGAGAAAAGTTAACGGGATACAGGATTTGACTGCTACCTGGGAAGCGGATTTTCGCCAAAATTTGAGCACGGGATGGGGAAAGGAAACGGTATTCGGGATAAATCGATGACAGAAGTTCGGGAGGCGGGAAACGCGTGAAAAAGGAGCGGGAATGCGTGTAGTATCGGGATCTCGCCTTTCAGATCCTTTGTTGAATATCTTCACCTTTTCTCCACCCTATTTTGTTAAGCAAATGATGCGCGAACGAAATGACACAGCGTCATGATCATCGTTGCTTTCTGAGAGCTCGGTCTAGAAAGAGAAAGTCGATTTTTAATTTTTTTTATCTCTATTACTCCAGAAGGAAAAATCCATGAAAGGAAGTGAAATACTCCCTAAAAAAACAACCAACCCGATCTGCAAGGGAGAGCTAAGCTTCATTTGATATCATACTCAAAGCCCAATAGGTCTTTGCACTAATGACGTCACAAATTTCTGGTCCCTGTTGTGACTCAGACACTGAACCTGACCAGTATAGAGTTTTGTATGGGAAAGTCACGTTCGCCAACAGTTTCGATAATTTATGTCCTGAAAATAATCAACGTGTGCCAAGACAACGTTGGAAAAAAACTGTACAGATGAGTGATATTATTTCTCATGCGGTGTCATTACTGTGGGTAAAATTATGTTACAGCATTTTACTAAGAAATGTATACAGAGCAGGGCTTCAAAGCTGTTAATAAAACAGTGCATTTGGTTAAATTTATAGGCTAAGGTTACTCAATTTTTTGCCTGTGCTTATATTATGCTACTTAGTATCGTTCCTACGTACCTGGCCACACAACAACAGAACAAACTTATACAAATTTCCGGTTTGTGCTAATGTTGGGGTACTTTTCAGCTTAGAAATTCTGCCACAGGCTAGCGAGAAGCACATACAAGCCCGATTATCTCTTTTATTAGCGATTTCGGTTTTGGAGTATTACACAGTGTCATGTTTCTCTAACTAAGACAAAGCTAAGGATTCGATTTCAGTAGCCTTATTTGATCAGGTCGCTTTATCTTCTGATTTTAACCGTTTGTTTGAGTTACCTAGACCAGGTTTTTCTCCCTATTGCAGTAATGCCTTTTATACATTAGAATAAAGCTCAAAAAGCATTTTAAAAACGCTCAGTGCGAATTTTATGAACAATTTTCATGTCGGAAACGAATATTACTCATACAAAGCCTTTAAGTAGAATGCAAAGTTTGTCTGAGTCACGCAGGGGGTCTAAGGTGACAAAACCTATTTTTAGAAATACTGCAAAGCGCTATATCAGCATATCTTATCGCTATATCACTGGCAGCCCAAGCTAGATAGCCTCCTACGCAGGCCTTTTTAGGGGAGCTCGTATTTCGTCCCTCCCCACAAACGGCGTTTGTGGGGAGGGATGAAACACAAGCTCCCCTAAAAAGGCCTGCGTGGGAGGCTATAAGCTAGAGAGCTTCGTCATTGTTGCGCAACCTTCATAATATAAAGTTTAAATGAGGAATTAAATAATTGTTTCTCAAACCTACAAAATGAAAGAGACTTAAATTGAAAACGACCCTCATGATTCAAGCTGTGTGCTTCGTCTTGTGTGGTCCCGAGATGATTTATGGCAATTTCAGTTACGGGTTTTTGTGGAATCGTTTTGCTACTCTCTGATATATAACTACATCAAACCAGTTTTACCTAACCCATAAAAGAACCACCGAGAAAGAAGAAACAAACAAATTACGTATAAAAAAAATATTTATTCCAGTCTCATTTGTAGGTTTCAGAAACAATCGTTTTCCCCCTTAGAAATTGTTATATCTTGAAGGCTATTGCATCAGTTAGGTAAAGTAAAGACTTTATTTCAAGAGGGTTAACACTAAATTAAGCCAAAGCTTATAAACTTGTGGCTCTCTATAATACTATAATTAAATTATAAAGAATACTAATCATACTATACAAGCCTAGAGTTATGATGAAACAATAACTTCCAAATTCCTAACTCTTAATAGAACTGACTTTTCTCGACTTTTTTCGGTACTATATATACTATAGAAAGGTCTTTGATCATGAGTTTTAAACGTGTCGTTTTAACCAAGCGGTCACTTCGTCCTCATGTTCACTAAGCCACATGATATTGGCTCGAATCTGTTCCATTCCCATCTGAACCTGTCGATACGCAGACGCCGTAGACGGGTAATCCTTGAAAAATACCATAAACTAAGAGAAAAAATAGGTAATAAATCAATGTACTCTTCTCTTTGTTTGAACACCAAATTATAAAGTAAGAGTGTTACAGGATAGTTATAGGACAGCAATATTAAACCTTGTTTATGCCTTCCCGTTAATAATATGCATAACTGCTCTCCTCCATGCTAACCACCACCTCCACCACCACCACATTTTCTATTGCTGAAAAAAAAAGTTGAGTGTAGGGTCGATCTGGGGTCGATGTACGGTCGATGCGGGGTCGATGTAGGGTCGATGTAGGGTGGATAGGGTCATAGTGGTGGAGGGGAAAAAATCGAAAAAACTGAGGGAAGGAGGGGGAGGGGTTAGTAAAACATTGTACTAAGTGTAAAAGAGCTAGCTTGCTTTTTTTTCACTATGTTAATAGATTCCTTTTAAATCGTTGAGTATTTTACTCTTTTTGTACTTATTAAAGGATCATAAAGTTGATTTCTTTTTGCTTAAGAAGCGTGTCTGGTTTTATTGCGAGCATTTATTAGTCGCCTGTTTCAATTTATCCTTCTTACTTTTTTCATTTTATTGTTTTGTGTTTTTCCAACAATAAGTCAAGACTGTCCCTTGGGTCTAGCTGTAGGGCCAATTAGTATGCAAATGTTGGAACTGTTCCTTAACTCGCATAATCAGAACTGACTTGAACGGAGCATGAAACAAGCAAACTCGGACGAATAATTTTCCTGGCAAAAGGATTGCAAGAAAGATAGCGCGTTCAAAATTAGTCCGCCTTTATTGTGAGCACATAATAGACTTTTTATTAACCATTAAGGGTTAGAAAAGAACAGGCAAGCCAATGGGCTAAGCTTTTGCTTCTGTCAGTGAAAAGTACAGTTGTTAACATATAAACGACTATCCAATTATGAGTATGCAGGAAGGCTCTCTTTAGTATGGAGGAAGGCAGTTATGCATATTAATAAAGGGAAGGCATACGGAAGGCAGGGGAAGGCATCAACAAGGTTTAATTTTTCTGACCTATAACTACCGTTAAATTGAAAATCAAGAGGAGCCCATTGATCAATGCATGGTTCAACCCCTCCTGTTGCTTTTTGTTGCCCGCTGTACCGTAACATGAACTGCACATTCATATTATTATTTATATTATTATCATTTTTCATAAAGAGTCTATTTAGTCGTCCTGTTATACAGATAAATGTGCTGAAAAATATACTTCAGTAACCCATTCGTCACGTGCGCCTCACGTGTTCACACCCTGATTATTATTGTTTCTTGCCAATACAATTCTTACTTCTTTGAGTTGTGCTTGTGTGTTGCAATTGACCATAAGCTTAGTAATCAAATTTGACCATAAATCAGATCCACGACTGTACCTAAAAGAAAAAAAAATATAATGTACTATTAAAAGGGCATTAAACTAACATGACACACCATTCAAATGATCTGTCTGACAAGCTAGATCAGGAAAGAATTCTGAAGAGAAATTCGCCGACTTTTTCCTAGTTGGAATGATTAATCGATTAAGTACAGTAATGAAACGTCAATTAATTTAAATGCAAGAATACTCAAAGGCTTTTAACATCTGTTTCACATAATAAAACGTTTAAAAATCACGTAAAACCAATTTTAAGACAATTGTGCGACAAGGTCTCAACATGAACCAGAAGTCAACAAAGAGCCATGTCAGTTTCAACTCCGCAGGCAGTCTGTTCCACAAGCTTGCAACACTAATACTAAATGAGCGTCGTCCGTCTGAATGTTTTATTCCAGGTTAACTTTAAATTTCGTTTAGTTTCTTGTTTAGCCGCTATGTGCTGATCAGAGTAGCGTAGTACAAACAACCGATAATGAGAGATGGTGCGTCAACGGGCGCTTACACGATGTTAAAAGCAACGGATAAATTTAAAATCGTCACCACAAAAAGTGGTCGCGGTAGCTTATGAAAAGTGGTCGTGTAAGGGAGGTTTGATTTGGAAAGCTTTGGTATTTTGGATAGGTCGTCACACAAGGAGGTTCGACTGCTTTTTCATCAGTTGTTTTGGAGTATCAAAAAGTGTTTGATGGCTTTGCTCAGAGGCCATACCCAAAATACTCAGTTCAATGATATCTTTTCCTTGTTTCTTGTTTTCTTCTAGTAAGCGAAAAATAGGTATTCATGTAGTCTAAACAATGTTATGAAACTAAAAGCTAAGAAAGATGGTGTTCTTTTTATTATTTAAAGTTGTAATTACGTGACAAACCAGCAATACTTTCATACTTTCTGTAAAGAATTTTCCAGTTATTACGCACAAAGTCCCAGGCCATTCTCCATGTTCTAGGGTCAGAGGCCAAGTCAGATATTACCACGAGGGTGTCCTGTGGACGTATTTTGTCCTTATCCAATGAATAGTTAAGACACCTAGATGCAGAGAGACAAATCAAGATATATTTGAGAAAAAAAGGATTCGTGCAACAAAAATAGACCAAAAAAATTTAAGGCCAGAAATAATTCGAAATAGCTCAGAATTAGAAATAGCTCTGACCAAGCATGTTGAATTTCCCACTTCAACCACCCCCTCCTCCCACACACACACCCACCAAGCCCTCCCCCTAAAAAACTAAATAAATAAAAACGAGATCAAAGATTTTCAAGCCTAATTTAGAAAAGTCGAGAGAGAGAGAGAGATAGCTAATTCTCTCTTGGCTATACTTTAACGTAACCAACATTTGCTTACAAAAATCAAGAGAAATGTCACCTTTCAATCATTTCGGGAACCAAAGTATACGACAAAGCAGATAACAGAATCTCCTTTTCTGAAGCAATATTTGTTGACTTATACTTGTCATAAACTTGATTCCATTCCCTCACACCACCCTCACGGACACCGATAGAATATACCACGGCACGGAGATTTGATGTTATGCTATAAAAAAGAGAAAACGGAATAAATGAAGCTCAGTTATTTATGTAAGAACTCGCTTCTCAAACTCACAACAAGACCACGTCATTTGTATGCCCAGAAAGCTATCAGAAGCTTTAGGAGTTAGAAGAGAATTTTTGGAGCTTAACTGTTTTGGGACGTCAAAACGTGTTGTTAATCGTATTTACAATGTTTCCATTCATACGACAGTCGAATTTACGCACTTCGTTCATCCAGCGGTGATCTTCGGATATGTAGTACCGTTTGAAGCGGAGGTAGCGTGGCTGAGCGGTTGGAGCGCTGGACTTGTAATTCGGAGGTCCCGAGTTCAAGTCCCTCCCTGACCGCTAGCTGGATTTGTTCACGGTAGTCCCGAGTTCAAATCCTCGCCCACGCTTGTAAAGTAGCCACTGCTTGTTCTCCTCCTTCCTGTTAAGATCTTTAACCATGTTATCATAGTTATATGTTCCATATAAATCATAATGCTCATTATCCCTAAAAAGCCCCATAAGGAGAAAGAATAATTAAAGTATTTATAATTCTGTAGCTTTTGGTGTACCAGGTAACTTAGTCCAGAAATTGAGCAATCCTATCCTATGTGTAAACCTGGGATATTTTTCTCTATGTTTGGTTCTTTTCTTTTTGTCAGTTAGCTTTATTATACGTACAAGTGTCCCTCCATGGCGAGTTGAAACATCCTCTTGACTCTGGAAATAACTGCTTTATCTGAACAATCACAAGCCGTGAGAAAAATATATGGCCGCAGAAGTCTGCAAAGGATGGCAATTATATCACTATAAAAGGATCTTAAAATAACTAGAGAACCTGCCTAAACGATTAGTCCAACTAAAAATAGCACGTGACCTTATTTCGATGAGAATCCACCAATTTTTATCCATGAGATTAAGAGAAAAGGCTATGGCTGCGTCATCGGCGTTAATATATTCTTGCACAAGCAAATAAGGTTCCTGAGCAAAAAAGGGTAATTCGGCCCCTACTATACCACTCATTATCTAGCAGCCTTGCAGCTTTTTAGTAAACTAGCAGGTATTTTACTGCACATTCTGTCAAACGTAAGATGGACCACGAAGAGGTGACGTATTTGCATCATCATGTGTCAAGTCAACTTCAGTCTTCTTTCAACTACATTAAAACGCAGTTATAATTATCTATAACTGTGGGGATTTAACCCCCTTTTTATTTTTTCAGTGATTAGTGATAATTATAGTTATTTTTCATGTATTAAATGTATTGAATGAATGTATTTTTGTAGCTAAGAAACTGAAACTGTATTTACTCTCAATATACTTAAGCCATCAGGGAATGTATGGCGTACAGACCTAGCAAGGTTTTTTCTTACTTGTCTAAGTGTGATCCCTCGTCATCCCATCCCAGTCGCTTTATAGTTGGATCAAGTTGCTGCAACATGTAGCTCTAAGGAAACAAAAGGAGGCGACCCCCAAATATATATTAGGAGGGGTACCAGACTGTACCGAATTGAACCACTGTGTATACCGTAGGTATTGGAAAATAACTAGCAGGGAGCAGAAGGGTTCATAACACATAGTAAATACAATTATTTGTCGCGTCCAATTTTTAAATAAACGCAGCCCAAAAGTGTCTGCCCCTGATACAAACAGACTGGCTAAACAGACTTGAACATTCGCCCAAGCGACTAAAGACCTGGGCTGCTCGACTGCATGCGTAATGGACAGTGCAATTTTGGCTACAGCTTCTCAGTATATAATTGGTAAGATTAAAAACTCTTTGATTAGATAAAATAGCTTTGAAGATATTTATATCGAATTCAAGAAAACTGAGCTGGCAGAACTCGCATGCCCATTACGCATGTGGGGAAGCAGAGATAAATCTTAAACCAAACCGATTCAACTTTCAAATAATAAAAATTCATTAATGGAATCTTGGGGGGGGGGTATGCTTGACCTAGGTTGACTCTCTTTAACTAAATTATAACTACAGACAAACTTCACATTTAGTTTTACCTTAAACAATCCGATAGACTTTCGCAGTAGTAGATTGTCGCCGATATAATACATGTTTGCGACAAATGTTTTCAGTGGAACATAATCTGTTTCTTTAATAATGTACTCTGTCAAATCCAAAGCAATAGTCTGTTTCAGCAGATTGCTCCTAAAAAGAGATAATTATGGGCAACAAACTCAGTACAATTAATACACAAAAAAACAGAAAAATCAGTAAAAAAAAAAGGTGATAAAGGAAGAAGCCGTGAGAAGGAAGAATACTAAGTTTCTTGTAAATAAAACTAGCTTTGGTAGTTGGCAGTAATAACACCTAATTTAAAATAAACAACTGATGTAAAATAAATCTATACATGACTTGTGTCATGCTTCTATTTTTGTTGTTGTGTATGTGTAAAAAATTTTCAAAAAACTGAAACTGATATAAATCCATTGAGGCAAACAATGATTTCAAGTTGATTTATGAAAATACAAGATTCAGATGAGAATGAGATTTCCTGAAAGCGTCCGCGGCCGCTTACGGGAATTTAAAAATAGAGAATTTGTATGGGAGTTGAAACAGGGTTTTTAAAGGTTGCCGTGAGCAGAGGTTTCCACTTACAAGCGCTTCCACTGTATTTGCTTAATATGTAATCCCTTATCATGTGTCACCTCGATAGGCGCTTGCAGGCCACAGGCATAGTAACTAAAAATAAAAGCTGTAAAAAAACTTATTCGCTTACCTTGCCAAATGAAACGCGTCATCGATCAGTCCTGACCGGTCAGCGGCGCTTAATGCCTAAAAATTTCGAACCAGTTAGACCCCAGTTATGCTACATTGAAACAAAGGATTTTTTTTTTTTTTTCATGTATACATAAAAATTTCCGGATTCATCACATTTTGAGATATTGGAGATCGCAAGCGTTTACACTAAAAACGTTTGGATTACCAACATTGCACGCATCGTTAAATCAGCGGAGTTTTAGTCGCGAGCAACGACAAGGGCGACGGCAACGAGAACGTCAAGAAGAGGCACAGGGAGCACCCTCGCAACGTCTAGACATCTACCTTTTTCAACTCGTATTTTAAAAAACTTTGACGTTCACACGATTACTTGCATTACACAGTTTCTTTCAACTTTGTAATAGGTGAAGGCTACGTGTCACACGCAAAGAGTGAATTTTCAACTGAGTGAGAGCTCCTATGTCTAAGGCCTAGGGCAAACGTCGAACTTTTCATGAGACCAACCAAAGTTATTGAGTTAAAAGTTCGACGCCTGGCTCAGTTAAGTTCGTCTGAAGGAGTTTAAATCGTCCAACACTTTCTATTCGTCTGTTTCCGACGGATAGAACGTTTGAGGATCGTCTTCAGGACAAACGTCGATCCTCACATGCCACGAACTTATAAATTAAAAATTTGTATTACAATGTATATTTAGCCTTGTTCGGGAGAAAAGTTATTACTGATCATAAACTGAAATTGCGTTTTGCCTGATTCAGATCTTAACTTAATTTAGGTGGACCCAAATCGGCAGAGCGTGTCATGGACCCGTCGACAACACTGGAAAGAGAGCCTTGAAATTAGTAAAATTGCTCTGCGAAAATTTACAAAAGTCTATATGGTGCGGGCACAAACATACAAACGTCTGTAAACTTTCGCGACTTTGAAGAGCTATCATAATCTTTGATAGTTTTCAATAAAACACTTTCAAACTTGCCCATTTTACTAATTCAAGGGCGCTGTTTCCAGAGAACATGACGGATTTTCGCAAGCTTGTCCATGTCAAAATTTGAAAAAAATCGTGGAAGGGTCTTTTAAAAACTATACCTTTTACTACACTTATTTATACGTGCCCAATTACTTTAAATCACTTTCACTAACAACTATACCAAAAGCATATAAACCTTATTTTAAAAAAAGAAGCATATTAGAAAAAAATCATAACAGAACAAAAATAATGGTAAACGACTATTCCCAGCTAGTATTTCCTGATCAGTTTCACTTGTTTAACTAATCTCCAAAGGCAAAATACAGTTATACTTACTTTATGGTCAGATAGTAACTGATTGTACAAAGACTTCCAGTTCTCTGTTTCGTAGTTTACTCGGTAATAACCAATCTGATCAACATTGGTCTTAATCCAACCGTCAGAGGAAGCCCAGTTCAGTGAAGCTGAAAAAGATTTTGAAGCAAGCGTTTATGCTTGTTTGCTCGTTTGTTGTTGTTGTCGTTGCTGTTGTCGTTGCTGTTGAGGTTACCGAGAGGTACGACTGTATCTTTTTAGATTTTGTTACTTTAATCAAATTTTTTTTAAAGCTCAAGATATATCGGCGACCAAGCGGCCTTTTTGGTACAAAAATTACAACAGCAATATTAAAGACAACTGTCTTGTAGCCTCATTTGTTTTTTGGTGACTAATTTAAGATTTATGAAAGTTCTTACCAGGTCCTCTATTCATCCAAACTTGGGCTCTAGTCTTATTCTTCTGAGTTATGTATGTAAGAGGTATATTCCAGGTATAACTATGAAAAAGCGCATCTCATATTAGATGACCATCAAGGCAACACATTTTTCCTCTATCTTTGCATAGTGTAGAGGGTGGTAAAGGGTAATTTCGTGACTCGAGATCGGCCCTTTACTTTTTCAAGAAATGGATTCGTTGATTATTTGACAAAACGTTGTAAAGACATCGTATTTACGTGTCGTAGCCAGAAACGGTTTTCGCTGTTTTACTCCTCTTCTAAAGCTCTTTCAAATGATATAAGTTTGACTTTGAAATTAAAAACTGCATTTAACCCATTTTGGTGACGTCAGCCTTTGTGACGTCACTATTGGACATTTTGCGTCAAACAAAAATTTAATATCGTTTGGTCAACAATCGTAGTCTATCTGGCAAGTTTGGTCGAGAAATGAAAAGAAATGTAAAAGATATGTAAATTTAGCCTTAATCAGCCCTTTGAGAGGTGGTTTGGCCCTGCCGTGTTAACGCACGTAAATTTTAATCACGTACATAAAATAGACTCAAATTCAAATTCCGATTCAAACTGCAAAGCAGAAACACTTGTTGAAACTCATCAAGTATATTTTTTATTATATATTTTTACAAAACCTGGTAGCACATAATTTCATAATAGTTCATTAGAAATTTACACACAATAATGTCCTCATGCATGACTTTTTTCCTTTGGTTTCTCTCACCACACGGGCTTGCAAAAGTGATGATACTTACTCAAAAGGAGAACTCTGGTTGGGCTTTGCACCAGGGGCGATAAGAAATAGTGTTTGATCTGCTCTTGCCTTCTCTTGATCCATGCGCGTGATGTTGACCACCGGTAATCCCATTTGTAGTATCCAAGTGTCCATCACCTTTTTTACATTGATGCCAGTTTGCTGCGGATGAACGGCAACCCAAGGGGCATATTAATAGTAATAAATTATTGTTGATGTAGGAGGAAAGTGGTGACTCTGAGACCTACTTTGGCTTTTTCAAAACCGCCGAACAGCGGCTGGTATAATCGACCATGAGTTGTACGTCCATCGTTTTCCATAATTACAAAGACAATTTACTTCATTCGTCCAATTATGTTCCGGTATATTGGAAGATTGGCATAAATTATCGAAGTAAAGGATGATTTCCACTGACGCGTATTTCACTAGGCAGGTTTACGCACGTAAATCTTAATCACGTAAATAAAATAGAGGCAAGATAAAAAGTGCTGAGCTTAAAAGAGAAGTTGAGCGCGGTTCAACTTTTACGCTTACAAGCGACCTTTCATGTATTGCCTCTATTTTATTTGCGAACGTAAATTTTACGCACGTACGCACGTTAAAATTATGCGGCACTGGAAATCAACCCTAGGGGAATGTTCAACAAAAAAATAATGAACAAAAGTGCCGTCTTGTGGTTTAATTGAGTTCCTCTCCAAACGTTTCGGGCCTGGCCCTTCATCAGTGGAGTTACAAGGAACTCGAACCACAAGACGGCACTTTTGTCCATTATTTTTGTTGAATATTCCCTTACCTTCTAAAGCGCGACGCAGCTTTTTTCCTTTTTTTTTTCCGTTACTTGTTTGAAGAAAAAGTACCCTGGGGATTTCAGCAACTCAGTTGGTAAAGCCATTTTAAAACCATAGCTTGTCAAATCTTTTATCCCTGGTGGTAATTAACCAAATCAACAAGGTTGTGTTTACCAATTTTTTAAGATGAACGAATAAAGGTTTGATGGTTATATTATTCGGGAGTGGAGACGGCTTATGCAGATCAGTAACATTTATACCAACCTCTTGGTTAAGTAGTGTAGTTCAGTTCTAAGGAGCGGCCTAGCGTGGATGGTGGGGGGAGGGGGGATGAAACGCCACGAATTAGTGCACATCTGGCCAGAGGCTGGTGCTCTAAACAGACAGCTTGAATCCTTTTATGGTGGCAAATTTTGCTCTTTTACCTCAGTTGTCTCATTTTTGAAAGACAAATATTAACGTAATGGATTTCTAAAAATAGATTGTTTGATTATGTGTTATATGGTTCAATGAAATCTAAAATAGCGCCAGACACATAGAGAAAGTTTTGGTAAATGAAATGAAATTAAATTAAAATGAAAACTTAATTTACGTGTCTATGTGTTTAGCTTTCATGACAGCTAACGGGGGACACGGGCTATCTACATTAATAATATGTGTCCCTAGTGAAATCTTCATAACACTAAAATTATTAAAACCTATCGCATACATAATTTTTTTCTACAGTCGTATTTCGGCCATGCCGCGGATAATTGCCTCTGTATTTTCTGAGAAACCCATTATTATCTTACTTGAGTCATGCATGCCCATAAATCATCGGTGACAGCGTTTCTATAAGCAAATTTCTTAAGATATAACTGGAGTCCGGATGTAAATCCTTCCGAGCCAAGAAAATCCCTCAACATCCTGATCACTGATGCACCCTGAGGAAGAAAGAAAAAATTAAGCCAGTCGAAACGTTCATGGTAAAATGGCGATGGCTTGTAGGGCATCATAGAAGACCGGCTCTTGGGCCAGTTAAGACAGATAGTTTTAAAAGAAACTCATTTTAACCCATCTTCAGTTTCTCCCCTCCAGCAATAAACTGAGTGTGAAGAAGGTATAATATAAAAGAAAGACAAGAAGAGCTTGGAGCTTGCTCATTTTTTACAGAAATGGAGATCCAATGCCTTATCTTAAACCATATTCATCCTTCATCCAAATAGCCGTAACGTTTATTTGAAAAGACGAGCGTTGATTCGTTGCCGAGAAAATCGTAGTCAACAGTTTCCAGCATATTACAAAAGACTTATTAACGGACCAAGCAAATCTGATGACGAAAACAGAATCGGATGACAGGACAGCCGACAATTCGACTAATTGTGACAAACGACAGAGCCAAACGTACCCATCACGTTTTGAGTCTTCATAGCCAATAGAAACAGAAACTTCCCAGGTATCGTGTGCGCGTGCACAATACCTGAGCATGCGTCGCGACTAACGGCAACAAAATTAAACCATTTGCCAAGAGAAAAGCTCGTGAAACATGGTTTTTTTCAGCTCCCAAAGAAAAAATCATTTTCACCGAGGGGAGCGTGCGTGTGTCCTCGAAATTTCTCCGGCCTAAAGAGGGAGAGAAAAGAAAGGGAAAAAACAAAGAGGGAAAGATTGTGGTTGAATATATGTGTCATGTTAAATAACATTATTTGAATTAAATTTAAATTAAAAGTAAGCAAGTAAAATCAACGCGGATAACTGACATAGAACATCGATCATTTCAGTGTCTTCATGACTCCATATAAAACATTCTGGTTTAACTGTTTCAAACAGTTTATTCTCAAACGTTAGTTTTACAGTGGAACCTTGATTTAAAGAATTGCTAAGGGACCGGGGAAAATTGCACGTTATATCGGGGGTTCGTTATATCGAAGCCTTCGATTCAACGAATTTTCTAGAAAACAACCAAAATGTTCGTTATCAACGGCGAGGTATATATAGTTTGTTAATGATTAGTCATGATTAATTCTCAACACACAGCATTTCCGGGTCTGAACAATTTCTGTAATTATTATACATTCAACTCACTATCTCTATTGTGATTGGCCGAAAACGTACAGTGAGTTTTGGAAATCAGCGCCTGGGACGTCATCTACTAAGGTCACTCAAGTTCATGGGTAATCATGTCATGTATGACCGCGGTGCATGATTTCTAAGGGTACTCATGACAAGTTCGGCCGATTTGTGTTGCTTGCCGTCAGTGAAGAAGCAAAAACATGACTATCCAGAATAATCAAGGTCGAGGTAGGGGTTATCGGCTGAGGCTGATAACCCTTACCGAGACCTTGATTATTCTGGATATCACAAAACCGAATCTAATAATTTTTTATAAACATTTGCATATGAAGCTATCATGGTTTCAGTACAGAGCTGTGCATAGATACGGCACTAGAAACTCAAGAACTGCTGGCAAACAAAACTGCTTAAAACTATTGTACACATAAATTTTATCATCGCTGGTCTGTTAATCGCATTTATCTTTAGCTATCGTTTGGTCACATTGACATTTATTAGTTATATCGAGGTATATTTTACGTTTGCGCTTCTGGACTGTGTTCGTTATAACGAGGATTTCGTTAAATCCAGGTTCTATTCGTTATATCGAGGTTCTGTTCCATACATTTTACTGCAATTTGGGCCGGGCTGAAGAAAATCGCTCGTTACACGTACACAGTAATTTTCAAGGAGTTATAACAACTCCTCTAGTGGGGCTAATTTAACTCCTTACAGTGGAATTATTTTTTGGGGAGTTATTTTAACTCCAAAAAGGAGTTTAAAGTACTCTTTTTCAGGCGTAAAAGTGACCCCAGATATTGAGGAATTAAAAAAGCCCTCAAAAAGGAGTTATCCTGTACCTTACATTTTTACTCCACTTTCAGAGTTTCATTAACTCCAAAAAGAGTAAAAACAACCCATGTAAGGAGCAAAAATAACCCCATTTCGGAGTTATTTTAACTCCAGACTGGGAGTAAAAAGAACTCATTTTCAGGAGTAAAAGTGACCCCAGATATTGAGGAATTAAAATAGCCCTCAAAAAGGAGTTATCCTGTACCTAAAAGTTTTACTCCACTTTCAGAGTTAAATTAACTCCAAAAAGAGTAAAAACAACCCATGTAAAGAGCAAAAATAACCCCATTTCGAAGTTATTTTAACTCTAGACTGGGAGTAAAAAGAACTCTTTTTCACGAGTAAAAATGACCCCAAATTAGGAGTTAAATTAGGAGTTAAAGTAACCCCCAAAAAGGGTTATCTTGTACCTAAAATTTTTACCCCATTTTTGAAGTTATAATAACTCCCTAAAAATTACGGTGTACCTAGGACTTCGATATAGCGGTTCATTAAACCGAGGTTCCACTGCATTTATATCAAATAAATTTTCAGACCTTTTCATATGATATAGAATCAAAGATGTTATTGATTTCTTTGGGATCTTTGACTTCCACCGAAATAGGATGTGAAAATTTTGACTGATCGTCGCTGAACGCTTTGTAAAGCTTCTCAAGGATAAACTGGTCCAACATTCTCCAGTTTCGCTCAACAAAACTCGATCCTATATCTTCCATATAAGTTGCAAAGCCTTCATTAAGCCAAAGATCATTCCACCATTTCATAGTGACGAGGTTTCCAAACCACTGAAAAAGGAGATCAAAACAAAGATTAATGCATTGACTTTTTGTTGCGTCAGTCCTCTAAAATCAGTAAAAATGCCTTTATAAACAACTGCACATCTGGGAAAAGGAGGTTGCGTTGGTGAAGAAGCAATAATGTATTGCCGAAACCATGTAGTGAGCCAAGGCAGGTCATTAAGGAATTGATTCAGTTAAATGTGATTGAAATTCTTGATTTTAGGCTACCTGCATTTATGCAGGTGCCGTCGAAAAATGTCTTTTTATCTAAATCCATGTAATATATAACATCTATCATGACTAAAAGCTTGGTTACCAATAGTGGCATCGATTTTTAAAAAAGCAACGACCGTTGCCATGGGGAAATGGACGTCGCCGTCCTGTCCTGCACTACACGTACGTTTTCGATCTTGAAGGAATTTTAGCTTTTTCTCTGATATGTTAAGTAATTAAGTTAAAGTCAATGGGATATCCGTTGCTACTCGAATACCATTCGTAGCACTGGCAGAAGCATTTATGTTGAATTGGTAAAAACAGAGCAGACATAGTAGTCTAAAAAACTACTGATCACATTTTATCTTGTCATGTGAACTAAAGTAGTTTTAAACCTAAGTACACTAGATCGTTTCCCATAATTAATTGAACAAGAGAAACTTAGGTTGACTTTTCAGGTTATTTTTAAAACAGATAATTTTGTTCCATTCAGTAGCTTAGTGCTGCATTTAAAAACACGAGCTTAAGCCCCATGCAAACAAACGCAGCATTCTTGGCCAACAATGTTGGGAGTTGTAGCGTCCTTTTGCACGTAGCTAATAGTTTGACCGATTTCCGACAAATTTTGCGCAACAACTCCCAACCAAAAGCAACAACATGCAACAGATCGAGTGTGCAAACGGACGCAACATGTAACTTCCAACAATGTTCGAAGTTGTTGGCCAACAATGTTACGTCCGTTTGCACAGGGCTTTACGTGAAACCTGTCGCCGTTAGCTATTTTCAAATTCAGAGTGGAGTCTATTGTAAGTTTACCATCTTATGAAACCTAAACTGAGTGGCAGGCGCAAAAAGCGGAGCAGAGTGGGAGAAAAATCCCCCATCCCTCCCTACGCAGGCTGAAGCCCTGTGCAAACGGACCCAACGTTGTTGTCCATCATCTCCCAACATTGTTGGATGTTACATTCTGTGTCCGTTTGCACACCCTGTTGCATGTTGTTGGAAGTTGTTGTGCAAAGTTTGAAACCACTCAAAATTTTAGCTACGTGCAAACGAACGCAACAACTCCCAGCATTGTTGGCCCAACAATGTTGGGAGTAGTTGCGTTCCTAACTTAGTAGCCTTTCAGGGAAATGAACCCTGGATTCTCCGCTTACCTGGTGTGCTAATTCGTGTGTGACTGTCTCACACACATCTTGCTTAATAGAATCCGATGTTTTATTAGGATCAAAGAGAACCATGGCAGCGGAATATCCTATCAGGCCCCAGTTTTCTTCGGCTCCCGTTCCAAAGTCAGGAATTGCAACCAGATCTGCAATATGACGGGTTGGAACGTAAGCTGTGGCGTGAGACATATTGCTCGCCGTTGGGTAACTGATCGAGCGAAGAGACCCTTTCGCTTGAAACTTTGTAAAAGGAACGAAGTCTCAGTTACCGTCGATCCTGAGACTGCAGTGCAAAAGGTGGTTGGTATTCTTCTCTTGGACAGGTCCTTCTGATCGGAAACTTTATGACGTTCGATTTGGCCAATCCCGTTTAAGGTATCAAAATTTGCCGAAATTTTCTCCCAAAATTGACGTAAATAGATCGGTTCAATTGAACTGACCCAAGGCGCGAAATTCGTTTTTCGAAATATCTGAGCGGTTTTTAACTTAAATAGCGGAATAGTTTGATATTTCTTACAGCCTTTAAAATGTTCATCGGACACTCCCGACCAGATATAATGGAAAAGGAAACCAGACAGAGAGGTTTTAAAACAAAATTAATGTTTCTGATAAACGGTATTTAAAAAAAGGCCGGCGAGATAATTCATTAATTTGTTTTTTGATGACTTAGACCCAATGAGCCTCTAACGTAGAACAATAATTCCTTTCTGCGTGATATAATTGCTTTTTTATAATAACATGAACAATGTTTACCTTGCTTTGGCAGAGGAAACGGTATCTTAAAGAATTTTTCATAATTTGAGAGAGTATTTGCAGCGATGTCCAAAGCGTAAGTACCCTGTGAGATCTGCGACGGAGGAGCCCACAAACGGACCTGTGCGAACAGAAAGTAAAACGCGCGTAATCTTTCAAAAAGAAAAAAAAATTCACAAACGGCCCCCTCTCCACAACGACTACCTCTCTACAAAGGCCACTTTCATTTTGTCCCGGCGGACAAATAATCCATACCCTGGGCGCGATCCATTCAACCAAAATTTCCTGAAATTTCGGTCCAAAACTCGATGGATCGGTTCGCTCTAACCGGAAAAGTTTCAAAAAAACTGGTCCACCTATTGAGGTGGACCAATTTTCCGGGTCGGACCGGTCGGAATCTTGGTTGAATGGATTGCGCCCCTTGACTCTTTAAATCTCTCTACAACGGCCTCCTCTTTACAACGGGAGCCACTTTCACCTGTCCCTAAGGTGGCCGTTGTGGAGGGGTTCAACTGTATTAGGAAACGCTGCTCAATGCTCAGGGTTCTTTTTTGTTGTTGTTGTTTTGTTTTTTGTTTTATATAATACAGCAGCCGACATCGATGATAACCTGAGAGCAAGAGAAGAGGAAAAGCTAGCGTAAAACAAAATTAGCACGAGTAGTCAAGCTTCTAGCGTGTGCTTGCATTAATCGTATTACCCATCTACAGTCGAATTTTTTAGATATAGCACAAAAGATGCTGGTCAGATCATTTTTAAGGTTTTGGTATTTCGAACAGGTGGTTGCCTATAACAGGTGTTTCAACATAGAGGTTTGACTACAGTCTTCAATATCGTCCAAATGTTCTTTTAGTCTAGATGCGCATATGTCGGCATTGTTTAGTTGTAACGAGCTTGTGCCTTTTTTTTTCTCTTATTTCGATTGTCAGCTGAATTGTCAAAACGTATCGTCGCAGTATACCATGTTGTAATTTTGGTTTAAATTAGGTTTGGTTATGTACCTTGATGCCACTACTTGTGTTAGTTTCTATGGACTTGAAGTCGCTCACCAGAAACGCTACCAAATAAGTACTCATCTTAACGGATTCTTTGAAATGATCCGCGTATAAATCTTCTCCAATTTTAACCTGGAAAAAAGGAGAGAGCCCAAGTTGTTATATTACGGTGGTAAGATTTATGTTATACTTGTCTAGAGGCAATTAGGTGTTAAGTTTTGAGGATAATGGGTCGCTCTTTCGCGTGTGTTTGTTAGAAAAGTGGCCACTGATTGTAAAGGTTTCCTGTTGACAGTATTGGACAATCATAACTAACCCTTGCCCACCCAAACGATACCAGAAATCGTTCCCCGGAAAGGTTGTGGCCATTCCACTCTGAAATTTACGGATTGGCGATTCATGTACAAACAGTTGAGTATAACATATGATTATTTTTGAATTTTGAATTACGTGTGGGTCTTATTTTATTCTTTTTTTGTTTCACTCCCTTCTCAGTGTGTTCTGCCGACCCCTGGAAGACATACCGTCAGGCAACTGAGGCGGTTGCCTTTCGGAAACAATTTTGAATGATTTCTTCTGTGTGCCTGAAGCAATTTTTAAGGATTTTTCATTGCACCCTAACACAGTAATAGAGTCTGATGGACGAAGCCCATGAACATCCCGACCAGCCGGACGTCAGTTCGCGAGACAATAAAAAAAAATGGCAAAGCGCACAGGAAGAACGGGCTGAAAATTGGCAAACGGACAAGATTGGATCCGAAGGAAACTATTCTTCTTGGCAAGAGTCGATCGGACTCAGTTGGGGGGAGACTTTGTCAATTATTTGTACCTACGAGATTTTTCTAGTCTTCAGATTGTACCCTATAAGTACTTTTGCCAATTCCCCGATTATACCTAGCCTAGCACTGAAGGTATTCAGAGTTCACCGTTAATCTCTCTTTTGACTCTAAGTGTGACTCTTAGTCATGTAGCATAATGCTCACCGTGCTGTCGATAGGCATATTAGAAAGCGCTCTGTACTGCCCCTGTCTTATAATGGTAACTGTAAACGTAGCCTTCATCGCTGGTTCGTCAAAACATGGAAAAGCTGACCGTGCGTCGGTGGGCTCAAACATTGTGGCAGCCAAGTACCTGAAATAAAAGTAAACTGGTTACTCGCGTTAAGCCCCGTGCAAACGGACGCAATATTGTCAGCAAACAACTCCCAACATTGTTGGATGTTACAGGCTGCGTCCGTTTGCACACCCTGTTACATGTTGCTGCATGCCGGTAGCGTGTTGCTGGGAGTTGTTGCGAAAAGGTTGGAAACCGGTCAAACTTTTGAGCCAACCCCCGAACTCTGTTAGAAGAGCTCTGCAAACGGATACAACATATGTTGCGCTACGTTTTGGTGATCACGGAACAAAGGAAATGTTAGGATCCTAACATTTCTTTTGTTCCGTGATCGCCAAAACGTAGCGCAACATATGTTGTATCCGTTTGCACAGCTCTTCCAACAATGTTGGGGCCACGCATGCGCATTACGCATGGTTTACAAGTCTTATGGTTTGTATCCTTCCCACGATGCACTGCAGGTCCCAACAATGTTCACTTGGTAGTTGCTGCATCCGTTAGGACGTAGCTTTATCAGACTGGACGGAGGGTGTGTATAAGGAGCCTGTTCCAGGCTCCGAAATTGAAAACGTGCGAACATCCCTTTTACCAGATCACAAATTTATGTTTCTTTATTTACAAATTGATCTACCGAAAACTGCCATCCCTTAGCTTATGCGAGCACTCAGTTGACAAATAATTTTTCACTATCAGGGTGCGTTGTTATTAACAATAGAGTCCGAGGGGGGCGTTTTTCAGAATTGTTGCGAGTACAAATTAATTGCGAGAAATAGACGCAGTTTAAAATCATTTTAAAATGGTATTGAGGATATTGTGCTACAGCAAATCTCACTCGTGCCGCCTTGAGTACCCGAGCAATAATAACGAGCCATAAATATGATGATTATATTTATGGCTCTTTATTATTGCTCGGGTACTCCAGACTCACGTGTGAGAATTGCTGTAGCACAATATCCGCAAAATCATTTTAATGGTTATAGGGGTTTTGTGTGGTATTTTTAGCAATAGAAATTTAGGAGTCAAATCTAGTAACAACAATACAGCGACGCGTTTTCAACCCAACACTCAGGGACTCTCGTGCACTGCAATATATAATTATAAGGAAGCTTTCAGAGTATTTTCAGGGAATTTAGGTCTGCTAGGCCCTTACTATCGAGTAAACAGCCTTGGGTATGTTATAAAGGGATAAGAACGATAGGAGTAAGACGGCCAAAAAGCCAAGAAAAAACAAAAATTTATATGAAAACACGGGGAAAGGTATCGATATTTTTGACTCCTATTTGCGATCGTTAAAAATACCATTAACCGGCCTGATAATTACTGATATTATGCAGAAATCATCACTTTGGAGCTTGGGGAACCTGCGGTTGATAGACCCTTTGCAGCTAGTCGTCCAAGTGGTACCAAACCGCCATGATGGAGAGCAAAAGACATTCTGAGACAAGACAAGACAAAAGTTGCTCCACTGGACTTGTTGAACCACACAAATCAAGTCTGTGGATGGATTTGTTTTCTTTAGACTCAGTTATTTTGATTGTAGTGACCTGCAATTGTTTGCCATTTTCATAGCCGAGAAATTAGTTGGTCCACGGTGTGTGCAAATTGTAAGCAAAAGAAAGCAAAACCCCCTATTGAAATTAGCATGTATATGTACTATTTGCAAGGTTCACTCTCATTTACAGAGAGATGCCTGTAGTGGCAAAGTCTAGAACTAGTCTAGTAGCGAGGGGATCTGCGATTACCAGGGAAACAAGGGTCTCTCAAATAGAATAGCGTGATTCTATCCAGACTGAGAGTGGTCATTATCGTTCAATCGAGTCCTGTTTTGCTCTGCGTCGTCTGAGACT